GACTGGGCATTACGGGAGTCGTCTTGCTTCCGGGGCTCGAATAGCTACGGAACCGATAGGATTGGGTTTGGGTCAGGCGCCCCTACATGGAGAAATAAGGGAGCCCGGTTTGGCGAGGGTCGCGCTTGTCGGTTAACTACGGCGAAAGGCAGACGCCCAGAAAAGGACCATCGCTTTGGGACGGGCGCCCTTCTAGGAGCATTACGGGAGTATTCTTTTTGGGAGTGGATTTATTCCCCCAGGATCAATCCAGGGCAAAGAAAGCAAGAGTTTTCTTGGTGGAGGCCCCTCTGCAAGGAAGCCGTGCGGGAGTCTGGGTTGGATGATGGATGGACGGACTTGAACCAGCCTTCAATCTCATTGATGTGCCTGCTTCCCCCGCCCTAAAAAAGAAGGGGGCAAGCTGGGAAAAAGAAGGGCAGGAAACAAACAAAAACCGGGAGTTGCCCCCCCTCCCCACCCCCGCGAAGGATCGGGGCTCCTCCTTTTGCACGATCCCCAGGCGCTTACCCCAGCATGGGAAGCAAGCGATGTAAAGAGGGCGCCGCTACTCGGTGGATTACGGGGAAAGCGCAGTGGACTCTTAGGCGCGCGCACTCAGATGCTCGTTCATTCATTCGTTCGTTCATTCATTCATTCAAAATACTGTACCTTTTACCCCGCCTTTCTCCCTAAAAGGACCCCAGGCGGCTTCCCACAATTAACGTCAGAGCTCCGTGGCACTTACTCCCAAGTAGCAGTCCATCCCAAAAGGTGCTCCAGGAACTCTCTGGGTGGGTAAGAAGCAGGGCCTGGAGAAGCTGGAGATTCAGGGGGTCTGTGGTTCTCTTCCCCCCCCCCATCCCAAAGTAACTTTTCCAGCCTCTGGTTCACCTGCCATCCCAAATCTTTGTCAGCCATAGGTCTCGTCCCCTCTCGGGGTGATGGTCCCTGTTCTGGGACAGTCGCCCAGGGAATGGTTGGGGCCGATCTTCCCGGCATCAGGTGTTTGTTGCATCAGCTGGCCCTGGCCGACCCACTAGAAGAGGTGGCAGGTGGTTGCTTGGCATGGGACTTCCTTGAGCAATTAGTGTCGTGGGGGCCAATTAGCGATCCCGGGGGTACTGAGTCCTGTTGCAAGGAAGACTTGATCAGGGCCTCGTGTCGGGGCCTCGTGACAGCTTCCCCGATCTCCTATCTGTTTGTTGTATCCTATTGTGCCTTTAATTACAACATAATTAGACTAGGTAAAGCGAAATGCTCATTATTTTCCCCACCAAATCTCTGGAGGTACAGCGAATCTGATGATGCCAGCCTGCCTTAGGAAGGGCCCCCTAGTTTTTTACCCTGGCATCACAGATGGTCTCATCCTGTGGGACACCAGCCTGTCAGGTTTCCTAGTCAACAGCCTGGCACACCCCAGGTGAGGCGCTTCAGCCAGGGTGGCTGTGGATTCTGGGAGCTGTCCACCAAAATGCAAGGTTTCAAAGCTCTGATTCTGCTAGACTCACTTTTCCCCCCTCTTAATTATTTTAGCACATTCTTTTGCACACAAGAAAAACAGCGGCCTACAAAAGTGTATTACAAACACAATAAGCGGAAATAAAGTAAAAGTGTGGAATATTTCAGTGTAACAAAAGCCCCCCAAAAAGGAAAGTGTGCTGCTTTTAGACCACCCCCTAGCTCTTAAAGCACGCTCTGGGCAGTTTAAAATTTAATTATGCCAGCTACTCATCCCCGCCCACTGCCCAGCAAGCTGGCTACTCAATTTAGCAACTTGAGAACGATGGAAAACGGAGTGAACCTTGAGCTTGCTCCTTGGAATTGAATCCAGGTCGTGAGCCGAGTTTTGGCTGCAGTGCTGCAGTGTAACCCTTGCACGCCAAGGCTCCTTGTTAGCTTAAGGCAGTAGCTTCTGGTAGATTACCAGACCCAAAATATTTCATCCTTGGTTTTCATTTATATGACCTGATTGCATTTAAATCCACATTTGCTGGTCACTGCTTTTGTTATTATTGAAAAGATGTGTACATTACATCCTTGACCTAACCATTTATTTTGGCACAAGCAAACTGTGTCTTCCCTTCTTACCCTTCTTTCTTTCAGGAAGAATTTGATGGTGTGTTAGTGGATGAGGCAATTGCCGAAGCCCTGTACAAGCTGGGCCGTTCAGCCCCCGGCACAGAACATGTCTATCTTAATCTTACACTTTCGGTGAGTTTCTGCCCAAGAGATTTCCCCGCGGACTGTAGGGTTGGGCTTCTTTCCCCTGAGTCCCTGCTGTGGCCCCGTTGAAAAGTCTGTATAGTATGATGTTTTCGTGCTGGAGGTCCAGCCCCCATATGATGCACCGGACCCCCTAAAGGGCCACGGGGCATTCGGCCAGAGAGCTCAACAGGCACTTATCTACCACCTTTGCGCTGGGGCAAGTCTGGCCTTAAAAGAACACTTTACCCTTGCGTAGCACTTTGCAAGTACAGGCACATGGGCTTTGTGATTCCTTAGAACTCACCAAAGCTCAGTTAGGTAGGACTCTTAAAATGATAGCTAGGTTGTGGCCTCTCCACCTGGATTTAGCCAGATCCTGCTGTTCAAGAGACCTGTCCTTTGGTCGAATTTTTTATGATTAGTTTTTATTAGAAAAATAGAGTTTCATTAGAAATCTGTTTATATTGCACAAGCATTAGCATCAAGAACATGTTCAAAGATCATTGCAGTTAAGTAAAATAACTATTTCCCATTTAAAATAATAAACACTAAAAAGCTAAACTAAGCTGGGCTATAGTGGGCAAGCCCCACCTCCTTCTTTCTCCTTTACTTTCATCCTCTCTCCTTCATGGAGCCAAATCCATCATCAAAAAGAATAGAATTCATTGAACACATTCCACATAATCTATCGTCCATTTTCTACCTTTCTAACTCCTCCCTTCTTCCTGGCCTATCTGGCTGTTGACCTTAAGGGGTTGTACACCTCTCTCCTCCCCTTATACCCATGAAAGTCCAGGTGTTGTTTATCTCCAGTTAGCTTGGACTGTTGAGTCTTCCATGGGCTCTGGCCTTCACGTTATTTGGAACAAGGCTATAACAGTCTTCAGGAAAACACTCATGGTGCTTAGAAAAACACATTCCAATGCCTCTCAAATAATCTCCACACAGAACCAATCTAACTGAATTTTAATTTCTCTGACTACATATCCCATCATCATGATGCGTCTCTGACTCCATATCCCATCATCATGACTTGTATAAATCACAACCATGTAGGCAATGCTTGAGCTGGGGGTTGCTTCCCAGGGACACAGAGACACCCTGGAGTAAATTGAGTTTTTGCCATCATGATCTGGGGTAATTTTTGCACCTTGGGAGGTACTGCAAAAAGATTCTTGCAGCTCAGATTAATTTTTCCTGGGTCCTAAAAGCGAGTCAGTTAGCAGAATTTAGAAAACATCCTGTTCTTTCCATTTCTGGGATTTCTCCACAATCTCAAATGACTCCGAGTGGTCAACACTCCTCAAGAGACACATCTATTCAGCATCCTTCTGTTGACTTGTGTCAGGGACACTCAGAAAAAGGGAAACTCCTTCCTAACCGATGTGTAGCTGAAGCACAAAAAAAGAAAATCTAAAGATATCTGTTCTGGGAAATTGCCATATATCAGATTGGTTATTGGTCCATTTGGCTTAGTATTTTCCACTCTGGCAGTGGACTTTACTTCGGCAGAGCAGAGTCTTTCTCCTCCTCTTCTACTCAGTTCTTTTACCTGGAAATGCCAGCAATAACTGGAAATGCCAGTATATACAAAAGAAGTACTGTTTCATTGCGTTAAACTCCATCTGATCCAGTTGAGAAACAGTAGTAAAAAGACTGAGTTTGGGTTAGCTAGCTGAAATCTCATCTGAACAGTGAACTCATAAGGAAGCCTTAGGTAAGCCTCTGGTTCCTCCATCACCTTTACTTATAACATATCTTGCAAGATCATTGTAACTCCACTGATGATGGTTATGAAGATTGCATGGAATTCCTTGAAAGAGGTGCCACTCTGGCTCAAGGTTAGAATCATGGCATCATAAAATAACGGAGTTGCAAGGGGCCTCGAAGGCCATCGAGTCCAACCCCCTGCTCAAGGCAGGAATCCCAATCAAAGGAGATCTGACAAGATGATTGTCCAATTTTCTCTTGAAGGCCTCCAGTGTTGGAGCGCACGCCACCTCTCGAGGTCATCGGTTCGATTGTCATATTGCTCTAACAAGAAGTCTTCCCTGCAATTCAGCCTAAATCTGGCTAAATCTGTAGCTTGAGACCATTATTATGTGTGTTGAATTCTCTTTCCTTTTTCTTTTCTGCAGAGCCGCAGCTTAAGTGACATTAATGCTCTTCACAAGTACATTCACCTCGAGAAGCTAGATCTGTCTTACAATAAAATTAATGGTACGTAGTTGTCGCTTTCTTAAACCCTTGGGCTGTAAAATCATTTCCGATAAAGAGGAAACGTGGTGGACCGCACAACTTTCTTATTATAAAAGCAGTTCTTGACTCCACTCAAGTGTCTCCAAAGAACGACTACACGTCTTGGAGAATGTTGGTGTGGTCTCACTCCAGTCCGTATAACCTGCTGTAGCGGCGTGTGCTCAGCAACTAGAACGTAAAGATTGTTGCCCAGTTTATTATGTGGAAATAAAATGCCGACAGCCATTTTGTCGAGCTGTGTGGGTTGGAGTTAAGTTGAAACAATAGGAGTGCACATGCAATGAGTCAGACCAGTGGTCTGTGTTGCCTGTGGCCAGCTGTGCTCCTTAAGGTTGTAGGCGGTCTCTTTCCTGACCCTGCTGTCCGGAATAACTTGGCGAAGATGCCAGTGCTTAAGCCTGGGAACATGGATGGGCAAAGTGTGTAACTTCCCTGTGGGCCACATCAGGTAACAGCTGATGTTCCATTATGATTTCTGTAAACCTTCTCCTGTATGGAGAATTAGTGCATGGAAATCGCCCCAGAGGGAGACCACAGCTGTGATACAAGGAGATTTGCAAGCGGGATCTGAAGGCCTTCAGAAGGGACCTCAACAGATGGGAAACCTTGACCTCTGAGCACTCAGCCTGGAGGCAGGCAGTGCATCACGGCGTCTCCCAATTGGAAGAGACATCCATCAGGCCAAGGCAAAGAGGCAGTCCCAAACTCAGGGAGCTGGACAGGGGACAGATTGGATTTGTCCTCAGTATGGAAGGGATGGTCACTCTTAAATTGGCCTTCTCAGCCACACTAGACGCTGTTACAAATCCTCGATACAGAGCACGTTACCATAGTCTCTCGAGACTGAAGGATGCCAAATCAATCAAACCTTCTGTAGATCTTTGACGTCTCTTGCACAAGCTTATAGCTCTGTGTAGTGTTTTTTAAGTTAGGCATGGGCACCTTGGTGGCGTCCAGAGACCAGTTTTTCACCCCCAGAATAATCTGTAAATGACCCTTTTTCTGGTTTGGAAGTTCTGGTTTTAATTTGTAAGATTGAAAGTTGGCCCTGAAAAGCCCTGCAGCTTGTTGAAAAGGGGGGTGGGGAACACCATTCCCGGAGGTCTCCAGGAATCAATGTATTCTTGAAGACTTTCACGGCGAGGATCTGATGGTGGTTGTGGGTTTTTCGGGCTCAGTGTCCACAACAATCCACAACATCCACAACAAAAACACACTGATCACCATCATCACCCTATCTCCTGAAAAGGACAAAAGCTGTTCCCACAGCTATAAATACTCAACTATCCAACAAACAGCAACAGAGCATGGACAGAGTTCCTACTCCAGTCCTCTGAAGATGCCGGCCACAGAGACTGGCAAAATGTCAGGAAGAACAACCTTCAGAACACAGCCAAAGAGGCCGAAAAACCCACAACAACCATCTCCAGGAATCGTCAGATTACAATTTTGGGGCTGAAAAAATGGCAGTATAGGAAAGAAGTGTTGGAACCTGCAAAAATGGCCAGGCTACTCCTGTTTAGAGATAATTGTGATGTGAGAATAACGGGATTTAACAACATTGTCTCTTTTTGTTGTAACAAACTACCCTCATGAGAAACAGGACGAGGTCTGTCCCAGCCTGGCCCACTCATGGGCAATCTCCATGCATTAGTGTAGAAGCCCATGGAGGGAGAGGGTGTGGTATGTTTAACGGTATGTCACAATTCTGCTGGAGCTAGACTCCGTCCCCAAGCTTTAAGTTTCCAGTCTGATACTGATGTCCTTTTTTTTTAATTTGGAAAAACAACAGTAGTCCCCATTCATTTAAGGCTACTCTTAAGGATGGGCTATCATGAATACATTGTGATCTCACATTGAAGGACAACATGTATCAAAAATATGGAATTACTGTAGTTCTAGAGTTTAGCTTCTGGAGAATCTGAGATCTTGGAAGTCAGTAGGGTTTCTCAATGAGATTCCTGTTGGTCAGCCGGCAGTCTTTCCGTGTACGATCTTGTCCTGCTTTAAGGTGATGACGAAGAGTATGTAAAGTAGTGGAAATTACCAAATAAATGATTCAAATATGAGAAAACACACCAGTCTGTTCCGTTTCCATATGGAGTGTAGAGGATACAATAAAGTGCTTCTGCTTTGCAGGTATAAAGAAAAAAGCTAGTGTTTTATAACTCAGAGTTTCCAGGTCGGCATTCAAGTTAAGATGAAAATTGGCAGAATGTAGTTTTAGAAGAGGTAGCCATGTTAGTCTGTGCTAGCATATCAGGCCAAAACAAAAGAAGAAGTTGACGGATGGAACATCTCTAAGAATGGCCACCCAGGCTAGCCAGGTTTCACATTTGCGTGTGGCCAGACCCGGAAAACGACTGCCTGTTACCTGGCCTTCTCCATGGTGGCCACCATGCTATGCCATGTGTTTCCCACCGATGCACACCAGGCTCCCTCTGATCTGGCCTTGAGGAAATGGGTAAAAACTCTGATGAGGCCTCCAGAAACCTCTTACCCCCTTCCCCCAGACATCCCTGAGGATCCGTGAATTGGAGATTGGTCTTGATTCGCTGTTGCCTCTGAGTTTATTTTATATTTTTGGTTATTGCCATTTCGGTCTGGATCTTGTGATTTAGGTCTCTGTGGATCAGAGTGGGGAGTTTTGTTTTTAACTGCTGTTATCCCCCACCCCCAGAGGAATGCTTCGGTGCTAGATGGGTGGGGTCCAAATGTAATGAATGCAATTTTTAAAATTGAAAGAAATAAAAAAGTCAAAGACGTCATAACACCTTAAAGATTAATTGCTGTGTTTTAATGTGAGCTTCTGGAGAGCAAGTCCACTTCCTTAGACAGAAGAGTGGGACTGCTGGCAGAACTAATTGTAAGAAATGTATTTTTATATATGTTTTTTGATGTGTTTTAACCTATGTAAGCCGCCCTGAGTAGATGCTGTCTAGAGGGGCGGGGAAAAATTGAATAAATAAAATAAAATAATAAAAATAGAACTGGTCTGTGCACTTTCCTTTATCTTCTATCCCCCCACACCCCATATTCTTATCTCTTGTTAAAATAATAAAAATAAAACTGGTCTGTGCGCTTTCCTTTATCTTCTATCCCCCCCACACCCCATATTCTTATCTCTTGTTTGCAGATCTGTCTTGTGTCAGCCACATGCCTTATTTGCTGGAACTGGATGCTTCCCATAATGAACTAACTACCTACTTTGACTTCAAACCACCTAAGAATCTCCAAGTAAGAAAGAAAACAGAACCTTTAGTCTCGCCAGTGACTCTTGGGCTGACGAGAGCTGTCAGCTCTATAACATCTGGGAAGGGACATGTGGTCTCCTCCCCTGGCACAGAGAAGCCATAGTACGTGGGAATATATGGAAGAGTAGTAAGGCCATGGGGAAATTCGGAAGCAATGAGATTAACTCCCCAAGTGACAGATCTTAAAATGCGGACTTAAAGGGAGTGAGCTGAAACAGCCCAGAGTGGCAGGCCAGAGTGCTTTATCGCTGTCATCACTCCTTCCCTCCTGGGTAGATATCTGGGGCTTCGGGAAGATGCCACACCACTGAGCAAGGAATAGAGCAAGGAAGCCAGTCTACCTTGGTGCCTCTGTGTGAGGTGTGTGGTCCAGCACCCATGCTTGCAAGTAGAACACAGTGTGTTGGCAAAACGTCCGAGAGTCTCGAGTAGCCCTCCTGTTGTATACAATCTCCTTGCTCTTTCTAGACATCCATGTGAATGACACTCGCATGTCCATTGACTACACCTAAGTCAAAAAGAAGAACTTTACAATTCAACAGCACAGCAAGAAAGAAAAACCTGTACAAATGGAAGGAATCCACTGACATTCAGCTCCCTCCTTTCTGCTCTTCCAGGTAGTGAATTTTTCACACAACGCGATCCCGGAGATGCGAGATCTTTCTGCCTACCAGTCGCTGACAAAACTCATCCTGGATCGTATCCTTTGGAGAAAGTGTTTAGGGAGAACTGAGATAATATATAGTTATTGATAGTTCAGCCTAGCACCATCGGCCGGTTTGGGTCTGGAATCAATTTGTTCTCCTATTCTCTGCCCACAGCAGAAGGCTGGAGTTTTTCCAAGTGCAGTTGTGTTTTTCAAACTGTACCAGAATACAGTATACAACAAAGTGATTCTGTATGATAGGTTGAAATTTCCAAGGGAGTATCCCTGCTAGGAAAATTAAGAGCCTTGTGGCACCATAAAAATGAACAAATTCTACTTGGCAGAAGTTTCCATGAACCCTGGGCATTTCGTCAGATGCATCTGAGGATGGGGAGGGGGCATGCTTGTGGATGTATCAGGAGAGTGTGCACAGCCAAATACTTTGAGCCCTCCCAATCATATTAGTTCCCTTCATATCTGTAGCATAATACCAAGCTGAAGGAGAAAACGGGAATCAGGCAGAACCAACCCTGTCCTCACTTACTGCTGAAGTCTTTTGCACAAGAGGCATTGCTGAAGTGACAGAACAGATTGTCTCCCGCTGTTCTTCTGGAAGGCACAGTGTGGTTTGGGGAGGTCTTTGGGGCTTTTCCTGACAGATCCCTGTGCACGCACATGTACAAATGCACCTAAAAGAATTATAAATATGTCTGCTGCAAGGTGCTGCCTCAAAATGAAAAAAAGAGAGAGAGAGAGAGAGGAGTTCATGCTCCTTAAGCTGTCTGATAACCTGACAAAACGTTTGCAGAAGACTGTGAACAGGGCCCAAATTGGCTTATTAACGCTGCCAACTGAGTTCCCCTACTTTAGCAATGATCGCATTAAAAAACCCTCCCCGGATTTCCGCGGGCTGATGTTCCTGCTTTAGCAATGTCTGTCCTCGTCTCATGCCGTTTTGTTACAAAGGGAACCGCAGGAGCTACCTTTCTTTTCGGAACAAGACAGACGGCTGGGGAAATCCAGACTGGGTCTTTGGTTTTGGTGACTTTCAGGTTCCTGGCTAAGGGCAGGTATTTAATGAGGTGACTATTTTGAAATGAGCAAGGGCTAGCCGACCAGCATAATGGTGTCAGCTTATAGATTCAGTCCTACGCAAAGGATAAGCAAGACAGGTAAAGATTCCCCTTAACATTTAGTCCGGTCGTGTCCAACTCTAGGGGCTGGTTCTCATCCCCATTTCCAAGCCGTAGATTCAACGTTTGTCCGAATACCCTTTCCATGTGAACATGGCCAGCACAACTAGGCACGGAATTCCATGACCTTCCCACCGAGGTGGTCCCTATTTATCTGCTCGCATTTTTACATGCTTCCAAATGGCTAGGTTGGCAGGAGGTGAGACAAGTGACGGGAGCTCCCTCCATTGCGTGGATTCGATCTTACGACTACTGGTCTTCTGACCTTGCAGCCCAGAGGCTTCTGCAGTTTAACCCACAGCGCCACCACATCCATAAGCAAGACAAGGGGCAGTTTAACCCATCTTTTCCTCTAGCAGGGGAACTTTCAAAGGGTTTGACCGTTGCTTTGCTTCACAAGGCAGATCACCCCCAGGGACACCCTGCTTCCAGTCCCTGTCCGGTGTGAGCATTCACAAAATCTTTATTAGCAGAGCCCTGCTAATAAAGATTAACTGTTCAGTTGAGGAGAAGCAACTTAATGTTTGTGGAGCATCCCACTGAAAAGGGTGGCAAAGGTAGCAGGAGCAGCACCCATAGTTTTGTGCAGAGCAGGATTCTGCACAGCCGTAGGAACAGATTTAAAGAACCATCTGGGCATTTTCCAGGGCCAACGAAGGATATTTCCGTCTTGGTTGACTTCAAGGAGAAGATGCTGCTGGCTCCATGCCTTTCACCTTGGCAACGCTAGTGCGGTGGAGTTGCTCCCACTCATTTCATTGAGGCTTCCTCAGCTCTGGTGAAGTTCACCTCTTGATGTTGGTCAACCACTGTATGCCCTTGTATGTACAGTAGCTCTTCCTGCTACCACCTTGCCTTCATAACAAGCCAGTGATGTAGGTCAGGCAAAGGGACTGGGGCTGACCCAAGGTCTTCCAAGTAGTTGCATGGCTGAGGGTGGATTTGATCCTGCCTGTCCTGAGCACGTAGGCTTTCCCCGGGCAGTGCAGTTTTGTTCCTTAATTCACCTGCTGGTGTGCAGATAACGACATCACAGAGATTCGAGGGCTGGAGAAGTGCCACAACCTGACGTACCTGAGCCTTGCAAACAACAAGATCACAGCCATCACTGGCCTGAAGAACCTTCCGATTAAAGCCCTCTGCCTGGTGAGTGTGTGGGAAGGGATGCTTATGACTGGGAAGAGTGGAGCCTGATTAGGAACTGCAGGAGCAAGCAGAATCTCAGTCCTCGAACCAAGTTGAAATGGCAGCCTGAGCTGGCTGGATAGCTCGGTGGTTGAGGTATCTGGCTGTGGAGGTTAGGAGTTTGATTCCTCTCTTGCGCCTCCTGAGAGAAGAGCCAGCCTGGGTGGCCTTGGGCCAGCTGCACACCGTCCCAGGGTGCCCCTAGAGGAAGGGGATGGTAATGCACTTCTGGATATTCTCTACCTAGAAAGCCCTGAAAAAGGTTGCCGTAAGTCAGCATTGACTTGATGGGACATGATCCTTACGATTATGGCAGTGAGGAGGAGGCCTCTATCCTCTGCTTATGAAAAGGAAGGTGGGCTCAGACGTGGCAAAGGGTGTCTCGCAAACGATTATGGCAGCAAGGAGGAGGCCTCTGTCCTCTGCTTGTCGCTCTGCTTATGAAAAGGAAGGTGGGCTCAGACGTGGCAAAGGGTGTCTCGCAAAGCCAGGGTTTCTCCCCACCACCATAGTCTTATGAATTCTGTTTCTCCGTTGTCTGCCTTTCTTGACAAAGTTATCCACAGCTGTGAATTCTTGAGAAAGAGGAAGAGTCAAGAAGTGCAAAAGCACCATACCATTAATAGCCTGATTAAACATTTAAAATCCAAGGGGAAATGTCAAGGGTAAACCAGCTACCCAAAATGTCAGAAAGCCTCTTCTCGGCATCTCTTCCTTCTAAATATTTATTGCTGGAAGAGGGAAGATCCCAGGAGAATTCAATGCCAAATGAAGGCAATATAGAGCAGGCAAAGGTGTAATTGCTTAAGCACAGAGGTGTTGGCTTTTCAGTGCTGGGTGAGATAATAATGAAATGTGTTTATTGCATCACTAATCTCTGTGATACCTTTGCAAGATGGGATTGAATGAAACTGAAGGCTTGGTTCAGTTTTCTGGCCGACCCGAGGTCTTCAGGGTCAAATGTTACAAAAAAGAGTGTATCGGAAGTTAAGGGCAGAGTCACTGCAGCTCAGATTCGTGATTACCTCCTGACCCGTGAGTGGCCAGTTAAATTCCTTGCCAAACCGGACCATCATCCGTCAAGTCCTCTGAACCACTGGGATATTGGAACTGATGGGGTACAAGGATGAGAAGCAAGGACGAAATTTAACTCGGCCCTGACTTTATCCTAGAAATCCCAACTTTGGATTGGACCAGTTGTTGGGAAAGGAAAAAAGAAAAAGATTTGGAGTTGAGTGGAGAATTGGAAAAGAGGAGATACAAAGAGCAATAGATTACAAAAAAAAGGTGAAATGTGATCAGACCTAGTTCAACTGAATTGTTGTACGTGAAGCAAGATTGCAAACCTTTGTTATCCGTTGGTTGAAAATGATGGATTTTATTCATTAGTAGCACCATTGACATCATGCTGCTACCCCTCTGTGAGTAGGTTCTGGGTTCAAATCAGGCTGTTCCTCATCTTGAGTAAAAAACGATACAGCAGAGTTGTGAATAAAAGAATTTTTATGGTTAACAACAACTGAGTCTTTTCTGTTTACTTCACTTGAACAACAAACAGATAACTGGGGCGGGGATTCCTCCCATAACCACAACAAAGAACGCTCATCAACATCTTTTAACAACAGGTGGTTTTTTTCTCTTATTCTTTCTTGGTTGTTTCCGTCAAACGCTGATCGCATCCCACACACAGTGTCCCGCAACACAGGCAATGAGCCCATTCTACCATTACAGGTTGCTCTATCACCATCTTCGGGTCTCCTGTGGGGGTCGGTCCCTCCGGACTGGGAATCCTGGGGTGTGCTACGACGGTCCATTCTATAGGACTCAATCCCGGAATAATCAGGCGGTAACTTGCTTTAGAGGAAGTCCCCTCTCCTGGATCCTCTACCCTCTCAGCCACTCTTTCTCTGGGCACTGAAAAGACATGTCCTGTTTTCTCTATTTCCTTTGTTTCCTGTTCCGGAAACACGCTCACTTTCTCAGTCTCGGTGGAAATCCCTCCTATTTCAGTAGTCAAGAATACGTCTACTCACTCCCTCTCCTGACTTATCCTCCTCTCCCCTCTGGTCTCCATCTCTAACTGTCCTAACGGCTCTTTTTTCCTCGCGCCTTCTCTTTCTCCTCGAGACCTTGCTAGTTCTCCCACATGGCTGTCTCTCCCCCTTTTTCTCCTGACACATCTCTGCTACTGGTTCTTTTATTCCTTTAATTTCTCCTTCCTTTCCTCTCTCCACGATTTTACTCTCATGTACTATGTTATATTCTTGAGGGGACGGCTCACTCTGGCTCCTATCGTGACACACCAACTTGCGACAAACTTTGCCAATACAGAAGGGGGAGACCATCTTGCCATGACCTGTTTTATCCAGAAAATGTATACTTGTACATCAAGATAATGTAAAGGGGCTAAGAGAAAAAGCCAGCATGGTCATTTTGCTGTGGACTCCTCCGATGCGCTGACGTCAGCTCTCCTGTCAGAACCCAGAACAGCGCCGTGGTATCAGAGCACAGAGAATGAGGGAAGCCACTTTCCCTACGAGGAGAAACCCTAACCCTTTAACGATAGCTGTGAGGATGGAGAGAAGCGATGACCGAATGCTGAAAGTTCAGGCGTGAGATCTTTATGCCTGTTCTTGAGCTTGGTTCACCAAAGCTAGCAGCTGGAAAAGTTACTTCTTTGGGTGGCAGCTTCCAAAATACTGCAACCACAGGCCAGGGATCAGCTGAGGGATTCTGGGATGCTTGAACAAAGCAAATAAATAATAGAAGAGACATTTATTGCCAACAAAAGTCCGAATAGTCACAGCTATGGTTTTTCCAGTTGTGATGTATGGAAGTGAGAGCTGGACCATAAAGAAGGCTGACCGCAGAAGAATTGATGTTTTTGAATTGTGGTGCTGGAGGAGGCTCTTGAGAGTCCCCTGGACTGCAAGGAGAACAAACCTATCAGTTCTAAAGGAAATCAACCCTGAGTGCTCACTGGAAGGACAGATCCTGAAGCTGAGGCTCCAGTACTTTGGGCATCTCATGAGAAGAAAAGACTCCTTGGAAAAAACCTTGATGTTAGGAAAGTGTGAAGGCAAGAAGAGAAGGGGATGACTGAGGATGAGATGGCTGGACAGTGTCTGTGAAGCAACCAACATGAATTTGACACAAGTCTGGGAGGCAGTGGAAGACAGGAGGGCCTGGCATGCTCTGGTCCATGGGGTCATGAAGAGTCGGACACGACTTAATGACTAAATGAACGAACGAAATGAATGAATAAAAAAGTATGGATCTTTTCTCATATATTTCTAAGCGAGTGGTACTACATGCTAGAAACCATGGTCTAAAGGAGTAACTTTTCTAGATGTTGGCTACAAGGAACCAAGCTCAAGTATTCTATAGAAACAATACTTAAGTTAGTTAGTTAATAAGTCTGTGCAAAGCAAACATCACCAGTGGACCTGGTCTGGTTAAGAGGCAGCGATTTGGCCAAGGAACACTTCCGTGCTTTTGGCTTTTACTCTCAGGGAATTTACAGGCTTCTTCTTCTTCTGTAGAAATCAAACCAGATCGAGAGAGCTGTCGGCCTGGAAGAGCTGAAGGTGCTCCAGGTCTTGGATTTGTCCGGCAATCAAATACGTAGCTTGGAAGGGCTGGAAGAGCACAATTTCCTGGAGGAAATCAACCTAGAAGACAACCAGGTAACACCTTGCTTTCAAAACAAGACCATTCAGCCTCTTTGGAAAGTGTGTGTATTGTCAGATAAGACAGCACAACGATGAAATGATAATCTCAGAGTAGTTTATTTGATAAGAAGACTCAAATATTAAAGTTCTTCCAGGACTGTATTATTTTATTTAGTAAGGAAAGAAAGAAAGAAAGAAAGGAGAAGAGCTGAATTTGAATAATATCAAGCCTGAAATGGGTAAGAATGAATGGCTGAGGGAGGTGCCAGAAGCGTATCTTCACACATTGTTGGTGACTCTGATCTCAGGAGAACCAAGTGTATGTAGATAACTTCTCTGATTTTTCACAGTCGATTTGATAACTGTTCTTGTTTGTACAGCCCAATGTGCAAATCTTTGACAGAGACTGCTACAAATCTTATGCAATTACCTCAGGGTGTTTTCAGGAGCCACTGTCTGTACTCTTTCAGTGCTCTGACTGGATCCATCAGGACTGGAAACTTAAGTTTCATAACTTTCAGAAAGGTTTTCCTCCCCTGAGGAAGTAAAGTTTTGTGCCCGGAACTGGATTCCCTGAGGGAGGGTTTTCATTCCCACAGAACTGTGGCATCTTAGTCAAAATGAGGGAGGGACTCCCCTATTTTTTCAGTCACATGAAAACAATTGTTATTTTTCTGTGTCTGAACCAGGTGGCTGAACTGAGTGAGCTGGAATACGTTGAAGCCCTTCCGCTCCTTCGTGTCTTTAATCTGCTGAACAACCCTGTGCAGGTGAGAAAACGTCAGAGAGAGGAGAGGATAAAATTTAACATCCTCTCAAGCCGAGAGGGCGGCATCGGACGGCCCTTTGATGGTGGCCCTGGGTTGCTCTCAACCACAAAGGAAGGGGAGGGTTCTGTCTTGTTTTGCATTGCTGGGCTCTTTACTGCCAAGAAGTTTCAAGAGCAGAGTTGGGTTTGCTTTGGATGAAAGAATATGGGGGAACATCTTGGCATTTCTTTTGTTTACATCTTACAGATGAGACAAACGGCAGGAAATCTTACAGGCAGAGATTTTTTCTATCCCACACCAAATCCTAGAGACATCTCACAATGCCTTCATCCTTCTCGTTTCTCTCTCTCTCTCTCTCTGCCTTTGTCCCTTTTCTGTCTGATCTAAAATGTTGTTTCTTCTGTCTCACACAATCTTACGCACACACACATACAGGCACACAGACAGGGAGAGAGAGCTTCTGCGTCAGCTCCCTCCTCCTCCAAACTTTGTGTCTCAGCTCCCAGTCCCCAAAGGACCTGTCTGGTAAAAACACTCAAGAAAAACCTCCAGCTCTCAGGAGGATATTTCCGAACATGTCGCAAGGAGGAAACGTTATTTGCTATTAACCAGCAATTTCTCCAATAGCGAAGTTCGCGGCTGGCAGTCTGTGACAGCAGGTGTGTCTTCCAGACACAGTTTGGGGCCGAGGGGAGGGGGGGGCTGCTGACCCATCTCCTTCTTGATGCCAATGAGCTCTAAGCCTGCCTCTCCTGCACACGGATCAGGTGGCTTGCAGGTTGCCCAGTCACCAGGCCTATCTGTGGTTTGAGTGTCCTCCAACACACTGAGAAAATTAAGATGGCGCAGCTTCCTTTGCCTTTAAAACAGGTCCAAGAGGAAGCAGCAGCTCTTCTCCTTTGGAACCTGGGTGTCTTTTTTTCCCTACAAGATGGAATTGGTTTTCATTCAATAGACTTGACAATCTGTCCTGATTAACAAGCTTCAACACCTCATTCATCAACAACAGCAGACATTTAACATCAAGTGCATATACAGCTCATGCTTGTATCTTGTCCTGAACAGAGTGGAAGATTAACGGCACAAGTGTTTCGATCCTGATGGCTTTTAAATGCTCTCTGAAAGGATTTCTAGGCATCCCAGAAAGAAATATTGCCATTTTGAACTATCTTCCTGCTTAGCAAATGACACTTTCCCACCAGGGATTTCTCTTGAGCAAAGCACAACTCTTGGCTGTCGACAGAACTTTTGTGCAAAAAAATATATCTGAGGTTGACCGGCTTGACATTTTCTTTGCGTGAGTCTAGAAAGAGCGACACGTGCCTCACTTTTAGAAATCCACAAATCTTTTTCGGGGAAACCAATGTGTCCTTTGAATCAATATTTCTCAGCTCAGGGCCAATATCCTGCGTGATGTCTTTGTACGTTCAGATCCATGGTCTTGTTGTTGAGGGGCTCCAGCCCCAAATCGAGTCTAAAAGTGGCCTGTGAGGAGTGGAAACAGAAGGAGAAGAAAGAGTGACAGCCAACGATGTGGAAAGCATGGGTGATAAGGGACACGTGTGAGCCAGTTCTCATACCCACATAGGGACAATATGTATTTGGTCATGTGAGAAAGCCACCCATATCACAGCAGGATTTTTCAGATGGTCATGGAATGCACTGAGTTTAGGAGCCACATAATGATTTACAGCAGAGCCCAAGGCTCCTGTCTCCTGAGTCTACTCCTTGGAAGTAAGTCCAACTGAAATCATTAATGATTGCTTCTGGGTGAACACAGTAGGGATCAGTCCAATGTTGAACCTTTAGGGTAAGTGATGGCTAACATACCGATGCTGAAGCCCATGCTGCTTTCATATAGTAGAAAAACAGCTCACACATGACTCACACCCTTCCTGTATTTGCCACCAAAAGTTGGCAGCAAATCGCTTCTTGTTGTTCAGTCGTTAAGTCATGTCCGACTCTTCGTGACCCCCTGGACCAGAGCACGGCAGCCCCTCCTGTCTTCCACGGCCTCCCAGAGTTGGGTCAAAGTCATGTTGGTCGCTTCGGTGACCCTGTCCAACCATCTCGTCCTCTGTTGTCCCCTTCTCCTCTTGCCTTCACACTTTCCCAACATCAGGGTCTTTTCCAGGGAGTCTTCTGTTCTCATGAGATGGCCAAAAAGTATTGGAGCCTCAGCTTCAGGATCTGTCCTTCCAGTGAGCAAATCGCTAGATACCTTTTAAAGCAAGTATTTCCTACTTGCTTTTCCCAGTTGCCCTGCATTTTCAGTGGCCTGACTGTCGCCGGCTGGGAGTGAGGTGCAGATTCCAGGGGGTAAAACTGACTCCTGAGCCAGCTAGCACTGCCTGTCCTGCTCTAACTTCTTCTAAGCCTCACTAGACAAAGCTCCTTAGATGGACATTTTAACATCTCTCCAATTACTCAACTGGACCTTTGGTTCCTTGTACAAACAGAAGCGGCAATTAAGATAGCGTGGAATCAGTTTGAATGTCAGTGATTTACCATGAATTGACACTTCCCATGAAACACACCTCATCAAACTGCCACGATGTTGACTTTCTTATTGATGGTTAATTATCATTCCTCTTAAAGTTATACTTCAGATATCTAAACTTTATTTGTACTAATTTACAATCCCATTTAGAGGCTGCCTCCATTTTATATCGTCTCGTTTTCAAGTTCCTCTGACATTGACTCACAATTAGGGGCTTCGTTATATGGGGTAATTCTCACCGAATTTCAGTTTGATTCATTAAACAGCAATGACAGGATACTGAAAATATTCATCTGCAGAAGCGATATTCAGATCTTTTTACCCACTTATCATAGGACAATGATCTTTGAATTGGTTTATAGTATTTAGAGGATAATCTTAAGGGGATTGGAGTTGAGAAAGAACAAGTGATGATAATTTCGCTATAGATTCTCCTGGAAATGAGCAGTTGATATATGGTAGAATTCTCCTTTCTCGTTTGCTACGATGATACAGGTGACCAAGCTCAATCTGTATAGGGTAGTTTGATTATCCAAAGGGCTTAAACATCTGGTGAGATGGTGAGAGACGCACCTTTGTGTTGCTCCTCTGTTCTATCCTGTCTCCCCCTGTAAGTTTGCATAAATTTGCATATGCAGGCTATGCATATTTATTTGCATAAATTTGCCTAAATTTGCATATGCAGGCTATGCATATTTCTTGCTAGGTTGAGTGTCATTTTATTGCCTGTTTCCACATTTTGCAAAATATGTTCCCAAGACAATTTGCATGCTTGCATTTTATTGTTTCCAAACTGCGGATTTTAAATTTGGTGTCCCTTTAGTCTCAATGAAATAAGTTTATTTTTAAGGTGTAAATTCCGTGAATATAAATGTACTTATTTGAGATTTTTAAGTCAATTAAGTTTTGCTGCAAAATGTTCAGTGGAGCTGAACAGATTAAGTAACATATTCCTTTCCTCGTTTATAAATTCAAATTGTATACTCGTATTATGGACTAGCCTCATAGTTTTATCCTGCCGTTCCTCCAAGAGGTTCACGGAGCAGCATCGAAGGTCTCGTACTCTCATCCATATTATCCTCGCAACAACCTCCAAGGTGATAGACCATTATTGCTTATTCACAATAGAAATGCTTTCCTTTTTCATGGACCAGGCTGGCACCTACAAAGATAAAACAGGGCACCAAAGAAGCAGAGGTGATATAGGGCTCAAGAGCAGGTAATTCTCAAAACGTGGAAGTGTTGGTGGGGTGGGTGTCATTCCTTTCCCCCATAACTTAGAAACTGCTAGATAACTGAGTTGTTTGGGCATTGATCTGCGGAGTCAACTGTTGGGAGTTTGATTCCCCACTGTGCCTCCTTGATGGGACTGGACTCAATGGTCCCGAGGGTCCTTTCTAACTCTGCAGTTCTAAGATGTAAGAACCCCTTAGTTAGGAGGGCTCTGGGGATGCCTAGACTCCAAGGACGGGGGGACACACACCTATTTCAAGCCAGAGAACTGCTTCGAAATCTACCAGTTGAGGCTGGAGCATTGGTAAAGAGCCCCGGGCACTTGTGGCAGAAGAGGCAGGCAGTGGCCACCCCTGTAGGGCAGAAGGAGGAGCTGAGGGTGGAACCCCCTCTCCATACCAATAAAGGTTCTAGGAAGAACAGCAGAAGACGACAAGGAAGAGGGTAGATTCAGTGGGGAGAAGCAAAAAGGAATGGGGCCGGCAATTCCATCACCGGCAATTTGCCCAGGTGGAAGACATGAACCAGGGAAGCTTTGATCCACTTTGTTCAGTGTAGATCTTTTATGCAGGTGGGGTATTTAATTATTTCTTCTTTCCTGTAGATTTGTGGGATTGAACCAGGGGCCTCTGCCACCACTAAACACGGTGCGCTACTGAGACGTGCCACTTGTTTCAGTGCATTGTGGCTGATCCATCCATCACAGGATTTTCGTAACAATTGCTAAGAGTTGACTGGCCTTGTATTTTACAGTCAGCCCACCTCCCTCTTTCCGGATCACTTTCCCCCTTATAAATACAAATCAGACGGGCACAAATGGAAGGTAGTTGAACAAAGTGAATTGGAATAAGCTAAAGGTTACCCATCAATCTTGCCATTTTTCTGCACAGACCACGGCAGACTTTTCTGCAGTGTGGTTCCATTAATATACGGTGGAAGCTCAACACAGCCCCGCCCTCCATAAGATCTAAATGATTTCAGTTAGAGGCTATTATTTTTGGCAATTCGTGATGCAGGAGAACTGCCAGGTGCATCGTGCCAGAAATCATCAGCTGTTATTACTATCAGCAGCATCATATTCAGAAGAAGGTTCACAAAAAAGCAGGAATAGTGACTCGTCTTTTTTCAAAGACCTGCACCCTGAAAGGAATAGTTAATCTGTAGTTTGCCAACCAAAAGGGATGGAAGGATAAAGCTTCGTTGTAAATTGGTCTGTTTATAAATGTTTCTACAGGTAGCTGCACTGGTCAGTTGGAATTATTTTAATAAATCAAAATAAGGACAGAATAATACAGTTACTGAAAGCAATTGAAACAGTACTGTTACTCCCAGGGCTTAATTCTATTAAGCTTAAGGCCCATGCAATAATAATACGTGGACCATTTCTTGGAGGAAAGGGCGACAGGTTGATTCAGATACAACAAGTGCGCCTTTGGGTGCCCAGCAGGGTGGGGACTCAGAGATCAACAGGGTTAAAGTTTTTATACCGTTCTAAAAAGGAAACAAAAGCCGGCAGCAGTTCATTGGTCCTTGTGCAGAACTATGTGCTTTGGTTACGATTCCTCGCATCTCAGCAAAGCAGTTAGTTTCTCATGTGCAGAGCAGCTTAGCATCTCTATGGAATGTTGAACCTTCCTTACAAAGCGCGACATTTTTCTTTGGCCCTTGCTCCCTTCTTACAGTACAGTGATCAAGCTGTGTAAGATCCTTCTTCAGGCTAAATAGAGTGTTGAACAAAAAGAGAAACTTCCTTTACCTGGGGGTGGTGGTGAGCCCTCCCAACGCTGGAGACCTTCAAGAGAAAGTTAGACCCCCATCGGTCCATTGGCTTTGACCGAGATCCCTGCCTTGAGCAGGGGGTGGGGACTCAGTGGCCTTAGAGGCCCCCTTCCACCTCCATGATGCTAGGATTCTATGAAAAATAGCAGAAGAGGTGTAAGGTAGTTTTGGAAATCATCATTTCAGAATCAAAAGAGTACCTGGGATGGGATCGCCATATATATGTGTGGCAAGTAGGCACTGGCCCAATAGGTTGTCATTTTGGCCATTGCAGTTTAAAATGTTATTGCCATCTCTTGGTTCTCTGTGCCTAGAATAGGCCTAGGGTCTGGGAAGTCTCATGAGCAAGAGGGTTCAGTTGTTGTTGTTTAGTCGTTAAGTTGTGACCTTATGGACCAGAGCATACCAGGCCCTCCTGTCTTCCACTGCCTATGACCAAATGAGTTTGGTCAAATTCATGTTGGTTGCTTCAATGACACTGTCCACCCACCTCATCCTCTGTCGTCCCCTTCTCCTCTTGCCTTCACACTTTCCCAACATCAGGGTCTTTTCCAGGGAGTCTTCTCTTCTCAAGAGATGGCCAAAGGATTGGAGCCTCAGCTTCAGGATCTGTCCTTCCAGGGAGCACTCAGGGATGATTTCCTTCAGAACGGATAGGTTTGTTCTCTTTGCAGTCCAAGGGACTCTCAAGAGCCTCCTCCAGCACCACAATTCAAAAGCATCAATTCTTCGGCAGTCAGCCTTCTTTACGGTCCAGCTCTCACTTCCATACATCACTACTGGAAAAACCATAGCTTTGATGACACGGACCTTTGTCGGCAAGGTGATGTCTCTGCTCTTTATGATGCTGTCTAGGCTTGTCATCGCTGTCTACATTTGCCATCCCTTCATGGATTGCTGCCTTGTCATGGCAAAGGGGCTTGAGTCATTCAGAGAAGCGATGGGCTATGCTGTGCAGGGACACCCAAGACAGACAGGTCATAGTGGAGAGCTCTGACTAAACGCGATCCACCTGGAGCAGGAACTGGCAAGCCACTCCAGTATCTTTGCCAAGAAAACCCCTTGAACAGGAACAAAAGGCTAAAGAATGGTTCAGTCCCCCCTAGCTTTTCTCTATGAGGCTGAAGCCTAGGACATCCATGCAAATCCAGCCCCTGTACAGGGTCTTTAAATGGTGCCGCCCTGCTGGGAAATCTGCCCCTACATAAGCACTGGTGTCTCTGTGCACACAGGCATCCATGCCTCCTTACTGGTTGTGCGTCATCCTAGTACAGTGTTGTAGAAGACTTCTTGATCCAGCTTTGTCTCTCTGTATAGGCCTCTTGGCCATTCTTTTGTCAGCTTCATGAAGAAGAAGTCAGTTTTTAGAAGGGGTGTAAAGATAGTGTTAATGTTCCGAGGTCAAGCTCCATCCAGACGAAGTAAGACAGCAAACGGAGAAAGCCAGAATCATCATCATCGTTGTCATGATCTTAGAACTGCAGAGCTGGATCAGTGAGTCGAGGCCCTGTCAATGAGGCATGGGGTGGGAGAGTGAATTGAACTTCCAAATGGATACCTAAGCCACTGAACTAAGAGAGAGCAGGGCTTTCAGAGGGCTGAGAACGGGATATTGTAGTATGAGGTCACAGAGGCCAAGGTACAAGGCAAACCATGGCTTAGTAGATTTAGAGAGATGACAGCACACATCTACATTTATAAGGCCCCAGAGTTCAGTCTCCATTAACAAGGAATTTAAGTGACGGGGCTGGGGAAACCCTGCGGTGCTTGAGTTGGGCATAAGTTCCTGAGCAAAACAGACCAGTAGTTTGACTCAGTAGAAGACAGCTTCATGGCTACCTAAATCCATGGAAACCCTGAAGCAAAAGGACAAAAAGTTCCTTCTAGAGGCAGAAGAGGACAAAGAGCAACCCACGCAAAGCATTTCATACAATCAACCCCCTTAACTGCAAGAATCCAAATCAAAGCAGATCAGACAGACGGCTATCTAATTTTCTCTTGAATGCTTTTAGCGTTGGACGATCCCCACCTCCTGAGATCACTGATTTCATTGTCGTACTGCTCTAACAAGATGTGTTTTTTTCCTGATATTCACCCTAAATCTGGCTTCCTGTCGCTTGAGCCCTTTATCACCTGCCCTGCAGTCTGGGATGATTGAGAACAGATCCTGCCCCTCTTCTGTAGGACTGCCTTTCAAGGATTTGAAAAGTTCTATGCGGTCTTTTCTCAGTCTTGGTTTCCAGCCCCCTGATCATCATCCTGGTTGCCCTCCTCTGAACCTGTGCCAGCTTGTTGGCATCCTTCTTAAAGTGTCATGTCCATAACTGGACACAATACTCTAGATGAGCCTAACCAGAGCTGAATACCAGGGGGACTAGTACGGGATTTGGAGACTGTGTTTCTGTTAATAAAGCCCCAAGTAGCATTTGCTGTTTTTGCAGCCGCATCACACTGTCGGCTCATCTTCAGCTTCTGTTCTACAACAGTTCCAAGATACTCAAAAGTATTACTGAGCCACATATCCCACATCTTGTAACTGTGTGTTTGTTCCCCCCCTCCCTGGTGTAGAACTCTGTGCCTTGATAAAGGGTATTTTTTATTTTATTATATTGTTTTTATTCTATCTATTATTGTTAGCCGCCCAGAGTAGACTTTGGTCTAGATGGGCGGGGTATGATCAAAAGGCAAAGAATAAAGAAATAAACAATATCCCATAGTGATGAAGATGATGGCTAATGGTGTCTTCACATGCATCTTTTGTTTTCTGTGAATCTCTTTGTCTTCTGTGCATGTGTTACGTACTTTTCAAAGGTGCTGTGTCTGATCAAAAGGCAAAGAGGCGGTGATACCTCTATTAGACCATTTGAACAGTCAGGAACAAGTGCTAGCTTTCAGTCCATATGGGCCTTCAGCAGTCCCGGTGGGTGAAAACCTTGCATTCATTTGTGATTTTTTCAGTGCCCCAAGAGAGGTACCCCCCCCTTTTGAATTATGTGCAAGGATCATATGGCTTTCTCTACTTTTGTTAAAATATAATCAGACAGCCTTTTCTGCATCAGCGTGAAGAGAGGCATTTACATTTTCTTCATTTGAATGGCGCTCAAACCCATTTATTCCACTTCTTTCAGCAACATCCGGATTATTGGCTCCTGGTCATTTTCATGTTGCTTCGGCTGACCGAACTGGATCACAGGAAAATCACTGTGCAAGAGAAGGTGAGTGTCTCGTTTCAGTGAAGCCATCTATACTAGGAATCAGAAGCTTGTATGTCACAAGAGAAGAATAGAGAACATCATAATCGCATCATCATAATAGTGCTTCTCCGTCACCCATGAATATTAGCTATGGTGGGAGTGACCATCTTAATGTTTTGCTCGGCACCTTCCATGGAAGCGCATGGTGAGTTAATGAGGGAAACTGGAGCCCAGTTAAAGCTCCTCTTACATCCATTGTTATGAGAATCTGCTCATGGTTTGTTGTTTACGATTGATGCCATTGGAACATGCCGGTGGTAACCATGGAAGAGCAAGCAACTCAACAGCGCCTCATGTTTGTGTGACTATTTCTGCTTTTCTGTAAACTGCTTCAAAACAAATCAAAACTTCAAATCAAGAATGATAGGGAGGAGGTTTTATATGAAAAACGCCCTTTGCTCTTAACGGTTGGTACTTGTAGGATCATAGCATAACAGAGTTGGAAGGGGGCCTAGAAGACCATCAAGTCCAACCCCCTGCTCAATTCAGGAATACAAATCGAAGAAGATCTGACAGGTGGTTGTCTTAAGTTTCTCTTGAATGCCTCCAGCGTTGGAGCACTCACCTCCTCCCTGTGAGGTCATTGGTTCTGTTGTCGTGCTGCTCTAACTGTGAGGTCATTGGTTCCGTTGCCGTACTGCTCTAACAGTTAAGAAGTTTTTCCTGATAGTCAGCCGAATTCTGGCTTCTTGTCACTTGAGCCCATCGTTGTGTGTCCCACAGTCTGGGATGATCAAGAACAAATCCTGCCCCTGTTCTGTATATAACGACCATTCAAGGGTTTGGAAAGCACCATCCTGTCAGTCTCCACACGGCTAACCATGCCCAGTCCTTTCCATCTTCCCATCCCTTGACCACCCTGGTTGCCCTCACCGAGCTTTCCAAACCTTGAGCTCTCCTTCATGGCGAGTCACTAAAATGAGACGCTTCCTTCAGCAAGTGACGATTTGATTTCAGACTCATAACGTATATTAGTGGTAATTGTACCAGATAGGCGGGGTATAAATAAATAAATAAATAATAAAAATAAAAAACAAGCAAACAAACAAACCACGAGGGAGGAATTCTAATCATGAACCTATTTGCTCCGACTTGTTCAGAAGGACTTACTTTGAATTAACAGATCCCTTTCCATTTAATTACGGGGAGCAGGTTGCCGCTGTGAACAAGTACAACCCTCCGCCCGAGGTGGTGGCTGCTCAGGACCACACGACCCAAATCATGTACAGCATGACGCATCCCCAGCGGATCTTCCACAGGTACCCTCGCCGTCGGTTCTCTTGCTCCCCGGCAGATGGCACTTGAGTGAAGGCCATTGCAAGCTGGCAAAGGGAAGGCACTTCTGCTGAGCCTCTCTCTCTCTCTCTCTCTGCCGGTCCTTTTCACTCTCCTCCTTTGAAAAGAAAAGAAAAAGAAAGAGGGCTGCGTTATAGATGCACCGTGACGGCCGTGATGGAAATTAAGCAAATTTTGCTTGGCTGAGCAGATTATGAAACGAAGTTAGTGGCTCACCTCCATGCTCCAAGACAGGTTGCCCACCGCTTCGGTTCCTTTTCCGCAATCTGTCTGAGCAGATGGCTGTTCACGCCATAAGCGAGAGATGAAGGAAGGAGGGGAGGGGGACCCGGACCTCTTATCAGTACCAAGTGACGATTAAGAGCTCTCCGGAGAGCACCCAGCGCTGACAGCCAGTGCTTCCCCAGACGGTCTTCAGCACTCTTCCTTCAGAGGGCTGGCAGGCATCCAGTGGCAAAGCAAACAGCTCTCCGACCCTCCATGGCACAGATGAGAAGAGGGGGCGTCACAAAACCCCTCCTTGATAAGAGAGAGCTGAGCGCCGGTGCTTCATGCTTGCCTCACCCCCTCTTTGCCTTGAAAGGATCTGGCCCTCCATTTGTATTTTTTTTTAAAAAAACTAGGCCCCTTGGTTTTAAGACAATTCTGGTTTTGCAATTAGATAAGATGATGTCTTTTCTAATCCATTCTGTCCTAGCATATATGCAGAATTTGATGGCCTGATGTACAATCTCCAGGCTCCGAAGGAAGGGACCTCTAGGGACCAGATGCAGGGGAGGGCAATCAGGAGACAGGGATCCAATTGTTTCGTGGGCTCCCAGAGGCATCTGGTGGGGCCACCGTGAGGTCCAGGAAGCTGGAGTAGAGGGACCCCTGGCCTGATCCAGCGGGGCTCTTCTTAGGTTCTTATGTTATTTTGATGATCCAAATGTGCCAGGTATGGACAGTCTGTGTGTAGGTGTGTGCACACATGTGCAGGCGCACACCCTACACAGTTTGAGTCAGTGGATGCCTCCTTTTAACCAAGTGACCAGATTGTAGCCTTCAAAAATACCTAGCGCAGGTAATCTGCTCACCATTGTTGCCATACAGAAAAGTAGCTACGGCTGCTGGAGAGCAGGCGGTGGATTTCTGTGTGTGCTGATGTTTGTGATTTGAAGGACCGTATCTCCCCATTTGAGCCTTTTTGGCATGCAAGATCCTCAGAGGAGGCCCTCCTCTCGGTCCCGTTGCCAGCGCAGGCACAGTTGATGGGGACACAAGAGACAGGGCCTTCTTGGTGGCAGCTCCCAAGCGATGGAACGTTCTCCCTCGGGAGGTCAGGCTTCCCTCCCTTCCCTTCTGTCCTTCCACCTACAGCAGAAGACCCACCAGGCAGGCTTTTAACAATCACAGTTGAGCCCCTGAATGCCTTTTTGAAGCTAAGATAGTTTTAAATGCTTACTTGCTTTCATTCATTCGGTTGTGTTTTAATTAGCATATAATTTAATTGTTTCTAATGTGTAACTTACTATGTTTTCGATTTAACTCTTTTTAATATTGTGAGCCACGTTGGGGCCCCTTATCGGGAGAAAGGTGGCCTATAGATAAAATGAACAAAAACATATAAAAACCTGTCTGTGTTTTTTTTAACAATTTGTGCAAGATCAGGATATTCGGAGCCCAATTTAGTCATAGGAACCATGAGGTGAAAGGGAACTCAGCCGAGAAGACTCTCTCAAAATTCAGGAGTATTATTCACAGATTGAGTCACCTCTACTGGGTGTTGTTTTCACTTTAATGATAATTTCCTCTCCTGAAAACATCTGCCTCTGTCATAAAGCCAGCCATGGGGGGGGGGCTATTCTGAGTGGCTTCCTTCATCCAAAATACAGAAGGGAATGAGAAGGGAGAAGAGTCTCCGTAAGCCAGAAACAGACTTTACAGACTCTCTTCCGTCATAAAAAAAAGAGCGGGGGCCCTATTCTGAGTGGCTTCCTTCATCCGAAATACAGAATGGAATGAGAAGGGAGAAGAGTGTCCGTAAGCCAGAAACAGACTTTACAGACTCTCTCCGTCATAAAAAAAGAGGGAATCCCGTAGCATCCCCCTTTAAAAGCATCTTTTCCACAGGTTATTCGGTCACCCGATCCGTGTCTGGAGAGACAGGCCAGTCTTTGCTTGCTAGCCAAAGGAGAGCGGTGATGGGCCAGCTGAGGTTCCCATGGCAGAAGCCACCCCGGAAGCCCCCTCTTTTTTTAAATTTTTTTTATTTTATACAAAAAAAATACACAAAAGAACTCATACATAAGAACAAAAATACAAAAAAAATTGTAATTTTTTTTGAAAGCCCCCTCTTTTGTATTCTCACCAGAGACGCCTATAAGGGCAGCTGGACTAATCGAAGGCCCTCCCAAGGAAGCCCCTAAATCTGTACCTGGCAAGGCTGCTGGCCTTTTGGACCCACCGGAATGGCCAAATAATCTTCAAGGGTAGGCCCATGCAGAGTGTGTTAAAGTAGTCCAGGCAGGATGCAATTGTAAAACCAATCTGAATAATTGAGAAATTAAATAACGACCGAATGAACATTTGTAACATTTCATTTAAGGATGCATTTGATTTAACAAATGGATATTTGCTGAAATAAAATTTAAGCCATTTAATTAACATGGTAAAATATGATTATTTTTGTCAATTCAGTATTTGAGTGAAGTTTATTACGTGGGGGAAAGATACACATAAAAGAAAAAATAAATGATACAACATTTTCATTATTTCAGCTAGACAAAATAAATAGTTTAAAACAAGCCCTGTTCTACCTTTTCTGCTCTGACTTAGACCCCTTTTGGTCCTAAGCAGCCCATCAATCTGAGGAAGAAAAAAAAAACACCTTCCTCACCCCTGTGAAAGTTGCCCACCCTTGCAGTATAGAAATGTCACAAATAATTAAAATAATTAGCAACGGTTGCATGAAGTGGTCTGTGCCTTTTGCTGTCCCAGTGAAAAAGACTTCTGGAATTCCATAAAGACCAACAGCCAACTTTATTTGCTTTTTATGGAACGTTACTTTTACATGTGCTTGGGTGGAGTAGTAGGGTGGGACATTTCATGGACGATTCTCTTGCTGTTATTATGCCATCGAGTTGTTTCCTAATAGGGATTTCAAAGTAGGTGAGATGTTCAAGGAGGAGTTTACCATTGCCACCGTCCCTGTGAGGATCCGTGGCCAAGTGGGGATTCAAACCCAGGCCTCCTGGGTTCCAGGAGGAACACTTTTTCCCGACACTGACTCTCTTTATCTTACCATTTGTCATTTAACAAATAGGTCTTAAGAAGCAACAAGGCCATTCTAGCTGAGATAAGCAGATTCACTCATATATGGTGATGAAAAGTCTGTTCGTAAGCTGGCTTTGAAACCCAGATCAAGAGTAGAAATACCAGTAGACCAGCTACTAGAAACTACACCTAGGCAAGGTATCAACCACCCAGAGTGGATTTCTCCAGGTGGGCAGTATAAAAATCAAATAAATAAATAAATAAATATGTCTAACCTGGGAGCCTGAGGTCCATGTAAGCAGCTGAATGACATGTTCCTTTGTCTTCTCTCTCTCTCTCTCTCTCTCTCTCTCTCTCTCTCTGTGCAGCACCCTGCCTAGTCTCGATGCGCCCTACCCCATGTTGTTGTTGACGGGACCGCTGGAAAGCTGGAAACGAGAGCTGTGCCATAGGCTCTGTCGGAAGTTCAACAACTATTTCAGATACAGGTATCTCTGCCCAGACCTGCTTGGATACCCTTGGAGAATGGTTGGGAATAACGGACTCCATTTTCTGAAGAATGGAATGTTTAACGAAGGCAGTTTTCTTGTTCCCTGCTCTAATATATTCTTTTTTCCATCTGACGTCTTCCATACTACCCTGTTTCCCTGAAAATAAGACCTAACCTGAAAATAAGCCCTATTAGGATTTTGCAGGATGCTCATCATATAAGCCCTACCCCCAAAATAAGCCCCAGGTAAGTGAAAGCCCACCCTCCACCCTTGTGCAGCAACCAGAATAAGATGACAGGATTGTATTTGGATAAATGCAGATGGTTGTACATGAAAAAAATCCCCTGAAAATAAGCCCTAGTACATTTTTGGAACAAAAATTAGTATAAGACCCTGTCTTATTTTCAGGGGACAAACGCTAGGTGAAGAGAAGAAATGTGTGGTTTAAGTTCTTATGACGTCAGCTGCTTAGCACAAAGGGAGAAAGCAGGGATCAAAGCCATCCTGCAGCACTTTGATCCTTTCTACCCTACATTTGCTAAGCCCTACTTAGATTTCTTAATTTTGGGTTAGAAAAGCAGGGGCCGTCTTATACATAGGGGTGTTTTATACATGGAAAATATGGTATTTCTAAAAATAAAGATACCAGAACTGCCCACTAGAGGGAGCAAGAGATCATGCCTAAGTATAGCATTTGCTATTACCTAGGCATAGTCTGAATTTTTTTAGCATCTCGCTGTTGGGGGCTTGGAATCACTCTTCCATGGATATTAAAGTCGTACTGTCCATGCTGAAACAGACTAACATGGCTAACTCTTTGAATGTCATACTGACTTCTGTGGATTAGACCCTATGCAAAACATTTTAATTCTCCATAATTCTCTGTCAGCCAGACAAAAATCCTGCCAGTCAAACACTTGAAAATAAGAATTTTAACTGAAGAGGAATAAACCCAGATGTATTCAGTCCATCATGTAGTGTTTAAAGCCTGTTTGAATCTTGAAATAATGAAAACCGGAGGGAACTTTTCTAGTGCTCTTAGTTCTCCAGAAGTCTTGTTGTTTTTCATTTGGTCTTTTATTCCCTAATAACTTTCCAGCAGACGAGGAGCAGAATGACAGAATCTTAGCGGAGCAGAAAATTGCTACCATAAAGCTAAGATGCGTTTTAATTATTCAGTGGAGATTTCTGCAGCTTTAGCGTTGGTTCTTTAAATGTTTTTAAATATTTCACCCTTCAAAATTGAATTTTATGGAAGGTACCAGGCACGTTTGAATGTAAATATAATCTGACTGTTTAAAGGAACTTGTAACATGCTTAAATGGTTTTTAAAGGGTGAAATAGAACAAAACATCTGGTCTGCGCTCTTTCAGGATGTGTACATTTATAACCTGGTTGAGAAAATCAAGGCTTTGAAGTTTTAAGCATTAAAAAGTCCACATGTCTCATATGGTTTTAATTTAGCACAACTTGGCATAGTAGGGTGTGTGTGTATATGCACACACGCACACATATATTCCCTGGTTGTGGCAGGATCGGCTAACGTTTGATGCCTTCCCTCTGGGCACCAGAACAAGTTTTATGTACAATTGAGATCAAGCTGCCGACAAAGGACGACATTTCACTGGTGAAAAGAGCGAGAGACACCAAACAAAGCAACAAAAACAAAGAGGAGTTGTGTTATCTGTAGGATTAACCAGTTTCAGGAAGAGCTTTTATGGATTGCAATGATCCACCAGGGGTGGGGACTCGCTGTCAAGTCGAACTTAAGCCGCGCGCCGGCCACTCAGACTCAACTTGGTGGGAGTTTTTTTCAATGACTCAAGGACCCGACCCGCAATTCGAAACCCACCCCTCTCTTTTTTTTTTCCTGGAGAAAAGTTCTGGAGACTTTTTCATAGGGTACTTGTGACTTGATACCAAAGACTCAGGTTTGGGGCTCAGACCCAAAGATTTGCCAGCATCCTTGTGATCATAGGGTGTGCGTGTATATGCACGCACACACACATATATTCCCTCCCCCAGAACATGGTTGTGGCAGGATCGGCTAACGTTTGATGCCTTCCCTCTGGGCACCAGAACAAGTTTTCTGTAGAATTGAGATCAAGCTGCCGACAAAAAACGACATTTCACTGGTGAAAAGAGCGAGAGACACCAAACAAAGCAACAAACAAAGAGGAGTTGTGTTATCTGTAGGATTAACCAGTTTGTTTCAGGAAGAGCTTTTATGGATTGACCTGATCCACCAGGGGTGGGGACTCGCTGTCAAGTCGAACTTAAGCCGCGCTGGCCACTCAGACTCAACTTGGTGGGAGTTTTTTTCAATGACCCAAGGACCCAACCCGCAATTCGAAACCCACCCCTCTCTTTTTTTTTCCCTGGAGAAAAAGTTCTGGAGATGTTTTCCATAGGGTACTTGGGACTTGATACCAAGGACTCAGCTTTGGGGTTCAGACCCAAAGATTTGCCAGCATCCTTGTGATCCATCATGTCTTCCAACACACGGAGCCCAAACGTTAGGTGTAGAGCAGGGGTCCCAAACATGCGGCCCCAGGGCCATTTGCGGCCCGCCGGATGATAGTTTGTGGCCCCCACCTTGCATGCCCCCCGAAGCGCCCACACATCCTCTGCCGTCAAGAGTCAGAAAAAGCCTCACTTTGCTCGCCGGCTCTCGCCTAAGGCAGCACCTCTTGCACCCTCCATCCAGAACTGCAGCCGGCAGACAGGCGGGCTGGCTGGCAGGCTGCAGTTCCAGATGGCATTTGGATCAAGACCACCTGACGCCTTTTTGTCTGCCAGCTGGTCTTCTTTCCCGGGCTGTGTTCTGCTCTCCCAGCTCTACACCCGCAAGCTTTGCTTTCTTCTATTGCCATCTGTTTCAGCAGTCACCAGCAGTGCATTTCCACTATTTAAACAATTGTGTCAGCTACGTCCTTGGAGTTAAATTTTACAAAGAGCATTTCTGCTCAGTCAAGTTGCAAGAGGGGGAAGACAGGCAAGTGAGTTGATTGCTATGCGTGCGTGCGCGCACCTGTGCGGCCCCCAGGTAAATTGAGTTTGAGACCCCTGGTGTAGAGGGTTCATTTACAAAGTGAGCATGGTTTGGGAGAGACAGGAGTGAAAGGAGACCTGGAGCCCAAACATTAGGTGTAGAGGGTTAATTTACAAAATGAGCATGGGAGTTTGGGAGAGACAGGAGTGAAAGGAGACCCAGGAGGGGGCGATGGCATTTTTGGGACAGATGATGATCTTTCCAAGTGACAACAGCGTTGTTAACACAGGTAATGACCTTAATATTAAACTTCTGACTGTGCGCTGGAATTAATGGGCAGAGCCCACTGCTAGGAAGGGTTATCCTTTTCAGTGTTTCCTCTCCTGCTCCACTCCAGGACTTAAAAATAGGGGCAATCTCGGTGGTATCAGCGGAGTTTTGAGGCGAACAGGTGTACAGTGTAGCCCCGAGCCAGTTCATGGATGCATCAGTTTTGCCTACAGTGCCTGGCGGTGACTCTCCAGAGTTTCCAGAAAGATCCTTCCCCAGCACTACCTGCAAATGTCAGGACTTGAACTCATGCCCTCATGCATGTGGAAGCATCTGTGGGATTGCTTTGTCTTCTCTACTGAGCTACAATGTTTTCCCCATGAATCCTTGCCAGAAAACAGGAAGGCCTCATGCATGTGGAAGCGTCTGTGGGATTGCTTTGTCTTCTCTGTGCGTGTGTGTGTGTTCCACTGAGCCCCATGAATCCTTGCCAGAAAACAGGAAGCTGAAGGTCTTTCGGTTCTGAAACGGGAGCTACAATAAAGCCACATTTTCCACATGAAAAATGCTCCCCCATCGATGCTTGTGGCAAAGGATTTCGTCCATTTCACGAAATCACTTCACCGTTACTAAGTATGACCTTGTCGATTCTGTCCTAGATTGACTGCCATTCTGTTTCATAGGATGGTCCCAAATACGACTATTTTGAGAGTCTAAAACGAATCCCTTTCCCACAAATCTCCATGCCATTCTTTATTTTATAAATCTGCACACACACTCTCTGTGTGTCTGTCTGCCTGCCTGCATCCTCCAGCTCTGCCATCCACATCTTGGCTTATCACACTCCTACGTCAAACAGGTCTACCCATGTGATACCATCTAGCAAAGAATTCTCGTCCCCTCCCCAAATCACAAATCTCAGGAGTCCCCAGGATGGGGGCCACGAAGGGAGAAGCAGCGTCAAGCTGGTAGAATGGGACAGTTGGGAGAGAGTCTTAGAAACCAGCCCGAAAAAGATCAGTCGCCTTTCTTTCAAAGGCAGTCTCTTTAGGGTCTCTGTGTTGATCCTTCCTCTTCCGTGGCTTCTTCTCAAAATGGCATCTTCCTTTTTTCTTTCAGTCCCTGCCATACGACGAGGGCGCCTTACTTTGGAGAAGAAAACAGACTAGATTACTATTTCGTATCCCTGGAGGAATTTGAGAAAATGATGCATTCGGTAAGGAGCGAATTGATCTCCTTTCAGGGAAACACGTGTAGAAAACGATCACCCCTCATGTTCGAGTTAGAGGAAAAACATTTGTGTTTTCAGGTACCGGACAAAACCTTCCCAGGACGTTGTTTGTATCGCTTGAGTAGACGCTAAAGCACGAATGAATACGGGCCAGTTTTTAGTCTGTCATGTTTTGATGCCTTCGACTCGCTTCTCAAGTGTTATGTTCTCTGTGTACATTCCCACACATTTAAACCCAACATCTAAATGCTTAACTTGGCATTTCATGATCCTAGAAAGCCTTGGGACATTAGTGCTTAGCACCAGAAATGGGAAGTTGCTTTTCCGAACAACCACTCCCAGAATCTTTGCTAGCCTAGATATCAGCTGTGTTGGCTGGGATTTCTGCTCAGCGATCGTCTCCTAGGCGAGTCTGAAGGTTCCTTGAAATAACCAGCTATGCTGGATGACGGGTGATCTTCATGCCCTGTTTATGGACTCCGAAAAGATAGCTGTCCAGCTGCAGATAGAAACAGAATGTTAAACTGGACCGTCCGGTTTCGCCAAAGAACCTCTTGCGGTCTTTCCCTGGGACCTTTGCCAAAGGAACCTTGCCTTTTTGCAAACGTTAAGTCGAGGTGGTAATATCTTCAGAAATGGCAGGATAGGAAAAAGATAAAAAAGGGGAAAATAGGAAGGTGGCCCTCAATGTGGGAAAGCATGTATAGACCTAACTTCTGGAATTGCAAAGGGGCTTATATATTTAAAAAGAGAAATAAACTGAAATAACGGAGCACTCATCAGGGTAAAGGCATAAGGTGTTGTTGTTTTTTTTAAGGTAAATTGAAGCTAGATATAAGGTTGGGGTAAACAAATAGTACATAATGAACATGCATTAGATATGATATTGTTTTAGACAGGATATAAAATGTGGAGATAGAAATGGCTAAACAACTACAGTATACCAAGAAAATCTGTATAAGATGCTCTAGATAGTATCTATTACGTGTTAAGAACTTCCTTGGTTACTATTGGTATAAATTACAAAGTTTGTCAGTTCAGTTACCTCAAATTATATAGATTTGGAACTGGAATGACTTTTATTAAGTATGTTATTAGAGAATTTTGAAAACATTGTATACTATGAGAGTAATATTATGTTAAAAGCCAATGTTGCATACTAAAATACATACATGAACAGTTTGAATGATCGGAATATGTTTGGAATTGGGGGGGGAGCAATTGGAAAGACACCAAGATGCAAAAAACAAAAGACAGTTTGAATGATCGGAAGATGTTTGGAATTGGGGGGGGGGGCAATTGGAAAGACACCAAGATGCAAAGAACAAATAATTGTAAGCAACCCATGTAACACGATGTTTGATAAGCATGAACCGAATGTAGATAGATTGAAAAACCAATAAAATCTATTTTTTTTAAAAAAAAGAAAGCGCAGGATAGGGTACCAGAAGAACTAGCGATTTAAAAACCAATAAAATCTATTTTTTTAAAAAAAAAAAAGAAAGCACAGGATAGGGTACCAGAAGAACTAGCGATTCCTTATGCGACTTCCCTGTGGAGGTACATTTTAATTTTCCCCATAATTGAAGCATTTTTCTCACTCGACAAGCCACATGTTACTTTCCCCTCCATGCATGATCTGGAAAAGCAAAAAAGTGAAAGGACACCTCATTCATCTTCCCTCTCTTGTGCAAATCCAGTCGTATATTATTATAAGAATGTAAATGAACATATACACAGACTAACATCCACACACTTCTGCTAAAGATGCAGGGGAAGCAACATGTGGCCTTGTAGAATCTCCCCAAACAGCTGGGAAAGAGGAGAGGAAGAATGTAGTATCGTAGCATGTTCTGGAAATCGTTTCACTGCCTGTCTTGGGTTATGATCTATGTCTGGGATAGCGTACTCTCTGTAATATTGTATAAGGTACGCTAAATTTGTTGTAAACTGCCCAGAGAAGCAGTTTGTTAGACAGGCAGTATATAAATTGACTGACTGACTGAATGAATGAATCTAAGTTGTTCTGGTTGACAAAATCGTTTCCTTCACCTTTCATATTACCTGTGCTTCATTCTTTACATCCCAGGGGCAATTTATTGCAACTTTCAAATATGGCGGCTTCAGCTACGGCCTGGGCCGAGACACCATCGAATCCATTGCACGGGAGGGACTTGCAACCTGTGTTCATATGGAAATAGAGGTAAGGGTTCGGGTTCAGGGTCCTGCCTCTTTGGTGCAGAAACACCTCTCATTTTGGTCTGCCTCCATCTCCCCTTGAGAGGACTCTTAAAATGCAGACCTTGAATGGGCCGGGAGGGTGGGGGGGTGACCCACCACTCTTAATCCCTGGGGTCTGCTTCCCCAAATCCTTTCCCTCCTGCCTGGAGTCCAGTATGGGAAAGGGGCACAGCCGATGATTCTTGAAGGGCGAATGGCAGAAGGCGGGGGAGGATTCTCCAGCCTCCCCTGAAATGCCATTTGAAGCTCCCTCCGTGATGACATATTATATCATTTGGATCTTGGGTTGTTCATAAGATGCTATTCACATCCTTCCCCTGAAATGTGGAGAATCCAGTCTGATGCCACCAGTTGAACAATGCTCGGCGCCTTGTGTGTTGACCTACGATATGGCCTGTGATCAAGTCCAGACAAAAATCTGGAAGCAAACGGGACCTGAGCCCCATCTCTCTTGCAGGGTGTGAGAAGCCTGAAGAATTCTTACTTCGAGCCGCGCTACATCCTGCTGATTCCAACCAACAAAGAGAAATACGGGAGCCACCTGCGAAGGAAGGGGCTTTTCAGCCGGTCAGAGATTGAGGAAGCCGTTGGCAGGGTGGACATGTACGTCAAAGTGAATCAGGATTCCCCAGGCTTCTTCGATGCCGTCATCAGCATAGGTTGGTTGGTCTTTTCGGAAGGCGAGCCTCCTCTCTTAGAGGGGTGGCCGTGAAATCTTAACGTTAACTTTTAAAGCCCTTAACGGTTTAAATCCTGATTGCTTGGCTGAGCACTTCTTCCTCAAAGCATCTACCTGTCCCACCCACACCCCTCATGTTGGGTGGCACCAAGTGGCCACCCTGAGGGAGGTCTATATATCGGTCACTTGGACCCAAGCCTTCTCTGTGGTGGTCACTTCCCTTTGGAACTCCCTGCCACCAGAGCTGCGAATGGCCCCATCCATCCTGGGTTTTAGGAGGCAACGGAAGACCTGGTTCTTCTCCCAATAATTTGCTCCTAATCAAGTAATTTTATGTATCTTCCCAAATCTTTCAGTAGTTTGCTCCTAATCAAGTAATTTTATGTATCTTTTCTGCTGCCAGCCAGCCAGCCAGTAATTTTCTCTTTGTGGTTCCTGTAACTTTGTCTGAAACCCCCTTTTTATTGTTGTTTTACTGTTTTCATTATTATTGTTTATTATGACTGTGAGTCCTTCCCTTAGCCACCCAGAGTTGTAACCTAGCTACTAATGGGGCGGAATAGAAATGTAAATCAATCAATCTTCTTTTGAAGATTTATTTTGAGAAAGAGAAGGGAGAGAGAGGAGGACATTGGCTAAACAGCCTTATTTGCAGCTTGTTAAAGTAGTTCTGTAACTGTGCCTCCTGCCAATCAGGAGGGCAACAGGAGAACTACGTTAACAAACTGCAAACAAGGCTGTTTTAGTCTGTTTCCTCCTCTATCTCCCTGTGGCCAGATAACTTGAATTTACCTGAGAAATTCCAAATTCCCAGGGTTTCCTCACTACATACTTGCCTTTTACAATGCCTATTTGATACCTGCATCTTGCCAGAAGTGAAGTAGACATTTTATACCAAAGGTTACAGGGCCCTCTAGATATTTACTAGAACTATGTTTATAAACCAAGAATGGACAAAGTGTGGCGTGAGAGCGTATAGTTCCCATGACATTTTTCCCCACCTCCCACTTCTGGATTCCCATTTCCCCCAGCTTAAAAAAAACAGTCAAAATGCTTTGCATCATGGCCAACCGGGG